TACCTCCATATAGGGTTGCTGTATCTCCCGCTCGTCTTCTGACTCCCCCTACTCATCCGGCGCAACCGAACAACACCATGCCGACTCCTCCTCCCGAGCCATCAACCCCAACGCTCCCCCCTCTAGCTCCGAGCGACCGGGTATATACCCCTCCCGGACCCCCTCCCACTCAAACATCTCCTCCGCCCGAAACTCGGGCTCAATCCACAGGTCCCGCCGACGCCCGCACTTACCACTGACAGAGCATTACAACCGACCAATTCAACCGCATATCTGGCGGAGTAAGAATCGACTATGGTCCCGCGCGGAGCTTGCGCGCGAGCGCAAGGAGTTCTTCGAAACGCGGGTTACGGGGAGAGCGGAGGTGTGGGCTGCGTTGGGGGTTGCGACGGAGCTTCTGAGGGGTGGGGATACGACTACGGCGCAGGGGATTGTTGATGCGGCGGGGGTGACTGTTCCTACGGGCGATATGTGCGATGGCTGCTATGATGAGAATGGGGCGCTGTATCGGTTGCCGGAGGTGGTTGTTATGGATCCTTCGAATGTGGTGGATGATGATGATGTGGAGATCGATTCGGCTGCGCACCGTATTTCTTCGGAGACGACTACGGGGGTTGGGGAGGATGTGATATCCGATGGGAAGGTTCCTGCTGTTGATTCTGATGAGGTGTATGAGGGTGAGGAGGAACTGGAACGTAGGCGGGAGGAGAAGGGGAAGGCTATCGAACGTGATTTGATCAAGGTGAAAGCTAGGTTGAGTGATCGCGGGGGCCCAGACGTTACCATCGTAATAGGAAAGAACTCTAGCGTTGGGGCGTTGGTAAGGAGGGTACAGACTGAAGCTGGGGTAAGTCAATTCCTGTGCTTGCTGTATTTTTATACGGATATCAAGTCTAACCGTCTTTACTATGTGGCTATAGGTCCAAGGGAAATATCGCATCCGAATTGCGTACCTTGGTAAAGTCCTCAGTGAAAGCCAATCACTTCTCGACCAAGGCTGGCAGGAAGGCCATATCGTTAATGCGCTCGTCGTGATGAAAGCCTCAACCTCCACCTCATGACAGCCAAGGTGATCTAACCTGCATCCTCCCCGTCTACGGAATCAACTATGTATCCAACACCTACAGCACCTCATTCCCAACCACGCTTCACTACGCCATATCGCCGATAATAAACCTCACCTCGAAGCTCCTTCCCCACAGCGAACCAAATCTACACCGCATCCACGACCGCGACGCCCTCTCCTCTTCTCTTCTCCTCTTACCCTTCTTTTCTTTTTCTGCGTTTGCTGCATTCTTAGCCCCTGTGATACCACTATGCGCTCTTCATACGAACAACCTTACGTAGTCTTCGTTTGTTACTTATTACTCATATTGCGTCCCCTTTTCTTCCCTTCTACCTCGAGATTTCATCTCCTTCTCAATTTACTTTATTTTACTTCAGTTCTTGTGAATGTGTGGTGTTCTGATTGCAAAAAATCTATGAAGTTCCTATTCTCTCTTCCCCCCATCCCCTGTTTCGATTACTTTACTTTCTTCGGAGGAACTTCATCTTACTTACAGTGTCTGGACTGTACTTATATTTCTCGTGTCCTTCTAATCCGAGTTAATCTCCTTGTAACCTTTTTCTTCTTTCCATCGTTATAACAAGCACAACGACCACCATCCGTCTCAAGCTACCTCCCCCCACTTTTCTCTTTTGAGGTGTTCTTTCTAGGGTATTCCTCCGGCGTGGAGGTTACAAATAATTGGCCACGAGAAATGGTACCTGGAGGGCCGATACACTCTTGGGATCCGAAGCATTCTAGGTAGTCGCGGGGGTGATGAGATCTTGGTGTATATATCCCATCGCGTAAATATGACTTTGTACCTTCAACCGGGAAGCTCAACCGAGATCCACGGGGCGCAGGGATGGTTTGTGCTCGTTGAGCCGCTAACTCGTCCCCTGAATATCTACCTCCCGCAGAAGTAGATTACTCGAGGAGTGGAATAGGGATTAGCACACTCCAATGGATAACTCGCTCCACCTTCACCCCCGTCCCAATAACGCGCAATCCCTCATCGCATCAAGCTCCCCCCAAAGCACCCTCCCCACAAACCCCTCCACCCCCCTCCCATCCCCATCCTGACAATCCGAAAGCAAACCCCCATACTCCCCATCCCCCAACCCGCGCATGACAACAGGGAAATACCCCCGCCTCATCAAATTATCCTGCATCAGAACACGCCTTACAGGTCCATTCCCGTCCAAGAACGGGTGTATGGATGTAAAGTAAACTACCATTTGACAGGCTAGGAGGAGGGGGTGCAGGTCTGCGTTTGCGGTGTCGCGCCAGGTGAAGAATTGGTGCATTAGGTTCGGGACTTCGGTGTGGTAGGGGAATATGCAGAGGGGGTTGGAGCGCGTTCTTATGGGTGTTTTGCGGTATGAGCCTGGTGTGGTGCGGCCGCCCCAGCTTGTGGAGTGGAGGTGTTCGGAGGGAGTGTCTCTTGTTAGGAGGGCGGTTAGGTGGCGGGTTTGGGGCTCTGATAATAGGGGGTTGATTTGGGGGGATTGGAGGGCTTGAGTGGTTACCCAGTGAGAGGCGATGAGGTGGTTTCGGAGTTCGGATACTTGGCTTGGGGGTTGGGAAGGGAGGAGTTCGTGTGCAGGGGGGAGGGGGAGGGAGGGTAGGTTTGAGGAGGGTAGTGAGGAGAGGTTAAGGGTTTGGAGGTAGGGGTCTAGGAGTTTTGCGATGTGGAGAGCTTCGCTGAGGAGAAGGCGATTGTTCTCGATTTGGACGGACTGGTGGGCGTATTCGGGGATCAGTGACTTTATGAATGTCGCTGCTTTTTGCCTGTTTATGGAGCTGCGATATGAATCAATTTTATGAAGTAAATCTGAATATTCCTATGACAATCAGTAAGTATAGAAGAACAATTAGGATCTGGAGGAAAGCCATACATTTTGCAAGACCTTGTACGGATTCATATTCCCCGGGTTGAAGTAATCACTCCAACATTTCCCGGATTCTGCAAGGGCATTGTATCCCGGGGATCCTTTTTCAAGGCGAGCAAATGGAGCATATATCTTCTTCAAGAGCTCCAGTCTTGGATCAGGGGCAGTGTGAGATGCCCTTGTTTGAATCAGAGAGGAGAGAGGAGTATATCGACTACTCCTTAGATTTAAATGGGGAGCGCCGCAGATAAATGTTACACGCCATTTCGGCTGGTACATAGCAATTCGCCTGCATAGTCCACCTCCCGTCCCCATATCTTCCGGCCCTCAAAGACGGGCAACCTTTCTTCGAGGGGAAACAAGAAGAAGCGCCTTATCGTGAGCAGCTGGCGTGGTGGTGAGCTGCAAACACAACAAACAATGATATCAAAAGCTTTATCCGTATTTCGTATTCCACCGATACACCAAAAGGAAAAAAAGTTAAAAAGTTCGAGCATTCTTGCGCCGACAAGATCGTTGATGGAAGAGACACACGAGACAGACAACTACTCAATTCGATATTTACTTTTGCATTGAGGACCGGAAGTCACGTATGTTTTGTTTTCTAAGTTAAAAAAGAGAGAATAGCGAGTAACAACACCGATCGCATCGGGGAGATTTCCAGTCGCAATGGAATCGGATCTGGCGAAGACGCCGTTCGTTAGGGAGCTGGCTTCAAGCGGTATGGTTATCTACCCCAGGGCATACGAGATAGTATATATGGCTAATTGTTTATATACTAGATCGACCTACGCGCGACAAGGCCGTCGAGTCCTTAACACTATACCTCTCAAGCCGCCGAGACTTCTCTCTACTCGAACTCCTAAAAGTCTGGAAGGGACTATTCTTCTGTGCGTCCCTACACCCACTCATATCACCATTCACATCCGAGATACAACCAAGACTAACCCCCGGCTCCAGGTTTCTACCACTCCGACCGCCCCCTCACCCAACAAGCCCTCGCCCGCAACCTCTCCTACAAACTCGTCCCCGCCCTCCCGCGCCCAAACACACTCCAAAACTTTCTCCGCGCATTCTGGACTACTATATCCCGCGACTTTCACTCCCTTGATCGGTTACGGTTGGATAAGTACTTGTTTCTGATTAGGTGTTATATTGGGGTTGCGTTTGAGGTGTTTCTGGGGAGTAAGGGGGCGTCTGAGAGCGGTGGGGTTCAAAAGAAGAATAAGGAGGGGGAGAAGGGGGATACGAAGAGGAGGAAGGGGAAGCGGAAACGGGATGAGGATGGGGATGAGGGTGAGGGTGCGGAGGTAGCGGGAGATAATGAGCAATTGGATACATATCTATCCATGATGGAGGAGGGACCCCTGAGCCCGCTTGTTTTCGAATACGGATCCGGCGATGACCCCGCGGAGAAGTTTACAAGGATGACGAAGGGCCCTGATGGTTTGAGGTATCATATACTTGATATCTGGCTCGATGAACTCGAGAAAGTATGCGCAGAGGAGGACCCTTCTTCAAGAAATGCCGACGACAACAACGACGATGATGATGGCGAGGGCTCAGAAACGAACGTCCCGAAGACGAGGTTAAAGGGCGATGTACCAATGGAGCTGATACTTCGACCCATCCGACGGCTTCAAGCTGATAGTCCGAATAAGATTGTCAGGAGGAGAGCTGCCGGTGTGCTTGACGATGACAGGCTGGTGGATTGGGGTGTGATAGTTAGGGAGAAGGAGTCAGAGTCGGAGGATGAGGATGAAGAGTGGGGAGGGATTGAGTGATCTGAAAGAAACTTTAGACCAGGAGGCAGCACTATGATGATTTTATGCTTGTCTCTAGAAAACTGTGCTGTTGGCATTTAATTTCCACAGCAAGAATACCATACCACGTTCACAATCTTCATGATATCAAAAATTATCCATGCTTTACAACCCCTAACCCCACGGGAAAGATACCCCTATAATCTTCTATATCCGCAATAAAACTACGCAAAATTGATTGATGGAAATATCTCAAAAAGATAGATATTTCCAGGGAAGCGCAAAAAAAATCAAAAAAATTGGACACTGCGCGAATCGAACGCGCGACCCCCTCAATGCAAATGAGGTATTATACCACTAAACCAAGCGCCCAGGAAAGACTATACACATTATAGCTTTTTCATTTCATATTTCAACTAGAAAATATATGGAGTACATGCCGACAATATTTCTACCTGATATCGACGATTATGGGCATTTGTACGCGGGGTTTGGCGAATAACTAGGTTGGGAGGATGTTGTTACTCGAGCTGTTGCTAGAGAACCGTTACCTTGTTGTTACGGACAGTGGTGGTGATGAATTTTGTGTTGAGAAAGATGTTGCCTTGTAAATAATATATATAAAGAACACATTCATCCCGAACAGCAGAGCGATCCAAGCTATCTCCAGAAAGCTACCAGCCCTTTTGTCCCCCAATCCTAAAAAACATAACGGTATCATACAAAGTTTTTGATCATCTTTATGTGTACGTAAAAACAAAAAGGCAACAGGAAGAAGTATTGGATATTGAGTACAACAGAAGAGCACAAACAGAAGAGCACAGAAGGAGGTATAAACAAAACATAAAAACATGAAAAGAAGAATTCAAAAAACGCCACGCTTTGGTATAAGCACGGGTATGTATGAGGAGAAACGGGCCAAAAAGGACTTGGAAACGGGGAATACAGATACAATGCAAGAAAATCATGATAGAACAGCCCATCCCCCATGCCTTCCCCCACCCGCCTAGTAGGCAGTAGACGAAAGGGTAATGTCTAAGCAACACCCTTCGCTTCATACAAGTGTCCAGACTTAGACAACACCGTCCCAAGTCCCTGGTGGACCTCAGCCTGGAACGGTTCGAACGGAACCTTCTCCCCATCGACGCTAATAATCCCATCCTTGTCCCTAGGCGTGATCCGATACGCGGAAGTCTTGCGGACATTTACATCCTCCATGTCGAATAGTGTGCCTCGTTCCACATTCATCATCATCTGTATGGCAGCCATGCGGCCGATATCGCCGGCGATAGTGACGAGATCCATGTACCCGTCGCTAGGGAGGGATGCTGGGAAGAAGTTCGCATCGGCAGCCATGTAGGCCATGTTGCCGGCGTAGAAGTTTCCCAGGTTCTCGTAGGGGATGTGAGTCCAGTCGTCGGGGATGGGGTCCGCAACGGTCCCGTACTTCAGTGGCGGTAAGGTTGAAGATTGTGATTCCGGATCGAAACGGGTTCGTGTGGCTGGTTGTTTCTGGAGTTCTGCTCGGTAGTGTTCTTTTATGCTTTCTTTATCGCCAATGTCGACCTTGACAGCGAGATCGCAAGGGTAGACCGTTTTCCCGAGAAGACGGACCAGAAAGCCGTATGTGAATCGAGCGCTTCCCATCCACCGGATGTTTTCGGTTCCAAGATCTGAATCGGCTACAATACCAAAAGACTGCGACAGGAAGGAGAGTGTCCTCCTATCCCCTTGGCTGATGGACACCAGATCCAACGGCGTGCGTAGACCCTTCACGATGGAGATAGCAGCCAGGCTCACGCTACCGGTACCGTAGAGATTCCAGCTCATAGCATTCCCCGTACCGCAGGGTATATGCGCAACCGCGACCTTAGATAGCGCTTCCCCCGCATTCTCTTTCTTCCCTAGACCGTTGAAGACTTCATATGGTAGACCATCACCCGAGCACGGCGCGATAACGTCGTAAGCATCGACATCGATCTTCTCCGCTATCTCGATAGCATGTCCCTGATATTTCGTCTCCTCCGCATCAATCTGGCAACGTGCAGCGGTGAATATAGGCTCCGCCTCATTATAGTAGAGCGTCTTCGCGCGGCCCTTCCCGCCAAACGGGTTCACTAGCACTTTTATACGTTTATTCCGCTGGGCTTGACCGTATGCCAGGTCCATGAGTCGCGCGACCCATATTTCGGCTTTTTGTTTTCTCTCCTGGCTGATCGAGTAATGTATCGTGGCGACGGTGTAGGCATCTTTCGAGGTGGGCTCGGCGTAGTTTATCGTGATATCGTCGGGCGTGCAGTCGGCCCAGAGGACGTTGAAGTATGGGATTGAACTCGTCGTTTGGTCCTCTGTAGTTGTCCAAAGACAGTTAGATTACTTGTGCAGCATGCAGGTACCGGAAGCCCAGCGGGGAGAGGGCGGGGGAGGGGAAAAGAATGTAAGAAACGGGGAGACTGCACGGGAGGATAATGATGGATTGCAACAACCGCGTCTTGATTTGTGTTTCAGGCCTTTATCTGGAGGGTTAAATATATTCTTGATAAATAAGCTGTCTCTTTATATGTCGATCGCATCGAGGCTATATGGCATGTATATCGGAGCTTTATCAAGGAAAACATACCGAGGACAGTGACAGACTCGGGACCAAGCGTCAGAGATGCATTCTTCCCAACAGCTAGACTGGACTCCCCCACGAGGCAGTGGGGGTCAAACTCCTCTTCTTCCTTCAAAGACGATGCTGCGTCGGCAGATACGCTGCTACCGACGAATTTACCGAAAGTCATCGCAACGCGTTCCCCTGGCGCATTCTGGGAAACTATACAGAGGGCTTTGAGCAGGTCTCGCAGGCGGATCCGGGCGGATGAGATGGGTGAATACGGAGAGACGGCGTCTTGGAAACGAGAGAGAGGGAGCTGGAATGGCGATGGAGATTTGGGGTGAATGAGTGAGTTGATTGAAGATGGTTTACGCGGACCGAGATATGGTGTATCGGGGGTTCAATATGTTTCCCACGGATCAAGGTTTATACAAGCTTTTTGTTCAAGATATTAGTAAAAGAAGGACAGATCCGATACAACATTACGGAGACTCTTGCAGCTTTCATCTTTGCACGGATGCAGATGCACGAGACGTTCCTGCGGTTGTATCTCCTGCCATCAAGCTTCTCGAGCCTCGTAACCTTAAAAAGGTGTAAGACAGTCGCATGGGGTACTTGGAGGTACTTACGGCAAGCTTGCTTTGCCACTCCCTTTACGAGTCTCTATACATCCCACCTTTGTACACCCTTTGAAAAGGCAATTGTCTCCAGCATAGAAGAATGAAAGAAAGGGTCTTTTCTAGAGAAATGCAACGTCGCCGTTATGGATTCATTCTGGGCCTGCCGGATGTCTCACATCAACGTTCTTTCCGAGGTACCCGAAATAAGAAGACTCAGCGATCCACACGTGAACTGACAAGGATGATCCCGTTGATTGACATGAATATCAAAGTCGTCCGATATCAGACGAGCCAACAGACATAAACTAAGAATGGAAATATACGTATGCCAAAAGAATAAAAGTTGGATCAGAGTTGATTCGGTCTATCAAGTCACTCACCCTCGCTTCTCCCTCTTACCCACGAAAAATAACCACTAACTACACAACTCCCAGTCTAACTACCCCTTTTGTTTTCGAAGATTAAAAAGAAATAGGAATGGAAGCATGCTTTCTTGGTAGCTTCAAATTCGATTCCATACAGCATAACATCTCGATACGAAGAAGGGGGGAAAGGGCAGAGTAACAAAAAAACACGCACTGAAAAAGAAAAAGACCCTTTTCCGCCGTTACCATAGAAAGGATGAGACAGGAAAGAAAGGGAAAAACAGGACATCATGGAGAGAGATCGCTAATTGAATAAAGGAGAAGAGACATGATCTTTCAATCGTCATTAAGCGGTGCTGGCCTTGAGACCCTTGAGAGATCCAAGGCTGAGAGCGAGGCCTTGTGATCGGCTTCGTATCCGTACAAATCCAGTGATCGGTCCGTCCTCACCTTCTTTTTCGATACTCAAGTTGGCCAGCGCATCCTCACCTGCAAGTAAATGTTAGTGATATTCAAGAAAACGTCAGATTGTGTATGAATTGATACGTACCAAAAACGCTCCGGGCGTAGAGATTAGCACTGAGGAACTGGCAATCCCCTTGGAGGGAAGCCTCCGGAGTTAAACAGCTCATGTTGGTGCTGTCCATGAGCTGTTTGAGGAACTCGCGAAGAGTCTTCGCCTTGGAGTTAATATTGACCTTATTCTCCCATTCGAACTCGGTCCACATGGTTCTGAACTGTGTCTCCGTGCAGTGTGCTGGTTGGATGTAATCCATGATATCTGCGTGCACATCGTTCAAGATAACGACGTGTGTCTCCGTGGAGCTGGGGCCATCGTAAACGACATTTCCGAAGATAACACCGGTGTCAGTGGACGATACTTTGACGGTAGCCTGTAGATTTAAGAAATCGTGTGGGCCTAGGTTTTGCGTGGTCGGGCGCTCTACAACCTTCAGGTCTCCAAGAGTTGCGAACTCAACGGAAAGGTTCTGTAGGGTTTCCACGGTTTGGTTGACAAGCAATACATCCAAGACAATATCAAATTGGTGTACCTGGACGTATGCTTCGGCGTATACAGGGTCGGAGAAACCGGTAAGCTGGACCACCCGGTTGAGTTTTGAAGATAGGTCCTCGATTGTAGAGTCCCCACCAGTAGCTTTCGCAAGGTCGAGCTCAATCTCGTCCGTACCTTCGCCAGCAGATTTCTTCGCAAACTGTCTGATAGGAATGGCGTCATCGATCTGCACAGCTGTTTTGGCCTTTTCCACGGCTTCCTTCGCAGCACGCTTCTTCTCCTCAACCTGGACCATCGCACGGAACGCCTTTCTCGTATCTTCAAGGAAGGTAGTCTCCAGTTCCTTCCTCTCAGCAAACTCGGCGAGCGAACGAACACAAGACATAATCCTGTCTACGGAGTCCTCGTCTATCGGGGCCTTCACGAAATGTGACTGTCCAACGCGGATGATAGAAATCATGATCAACATTGCTTCGGCACGGAGAGCGTTGGTCCGAGCGGTATCTTGTGAAACTTCCGAGTGACGCATAACCAGTTTAGTCAACGTGGACGAAAGGACGGTGGCAAGGTAGTAATCCCCATCGAGGATGAGTTGTCGGAGTGGTGGCTTCTGGGCAGCCTTGACAGCTTCAAGCTTGGCAGCGGCAGCGGACTGGCTCGTAAGGGCGCTTTCAGTAGCATATGTACCATCCGCTAAGACTTTTCGAGATCCAGTTGGTGCCGCTGGTTTGGCGTGACCGTTTACCTGTTCTTGTGCGGCGACTGCGTTTTCCTCG